CATGAAATGAGCATATTACTCGGTTTCTCTGTATTTATATTCCATTTTCCTTTCTAATTTAGATCATAAATCATTTGGAAAGAACTATGCTTAATCCTATCAGCACTTATAGAATAGTAAGTGAAGTAGATCCCTGCATATTTATTGAAGAATCCCAGTAGGAGGGACAAAACAATTTCACCAGAGATTACAGAAGACTTGAAAAAATCTGGGTTGTTTAGAAGATGGCTGATGTAGGAGAGTAGTTGTTCGTTCACAAAATATTTATTGACCACATATTTCATAAAAGGCACCATACTAGATTTCTTTTTCTTATATTTTCTTTCTTTTTTTTTCTCCTAAGGAACTCGGAGTCTAGTTGATGGAATGAGATGAATGCAAATAATCATAAGGTAAGATAGTTTATGGAAAGGGTCAAACTAAGAATTACTGCTGATTCTACTTTATTTATTATTTATTTATATTTAAAGTTTTTCCAGTTACAGTTGACACATGATATTATATTAATTTCAGGTATATAACACAGTGATTAGACATTTATGTATCTTATACCAATAAATCTAGTACCCATCTGACACCATACATAGTTATTACAATTTATTGACTATATTCCTTATGCTATACTTTGCATCCTAACTATTCTGTAACTACCAATTTGTACTTCTTTATTCCTTCCTCTTTTTCATCCCCTAACCCCCTCGCATCTGGCAGACATCAAAATGTTCTCTGTATCCATGAGCTTCTTTTATTTTGTTTGTTTGTTTATTTTGTTTTTGAGATTCCATATGTAAATGTAATCCTATGGCATTTGTTTTTCTCTCTGTCTTACTCCACTCAGCACAATACCCTTTAGCCCCATCCACGTTGTTGCAGATGGCAAAATTTCACTCTTTTTTATAGCTGAGTAATATTTCATTGTATATATATACCACCTTTTCTTTATCCATTCATCTATTGATGAATGCCCAAGTTGCCTCCATATCTTGACTATTGTAAATAATGCTGCAATGAACATATAGATTCACATGTTCCTTCAAAATAGTGTTTTGAGTTTCTTTGGATAAATACCCAGAAGTGGGATTACTGGATCCTTCTTTGTCTATTGTTATAGCATTTGTTTTAAAGTTTATTTTATCTGATGTAAGTATTGCTACCTCAGATGTTTTATTTGTTTGTTTGTATTTTTATGAAACATCTTTTCTCATCCATTTACTTTCAGTCTGTGTGTGTCTTTTGATTAGAAGTGAGTCCCTTGTAGGGCGCATATGTAAGGGTTTTGTTTTCTAATCCATTCAGCTACCTTATCTTTTATTGGAGCATTAAATCCATTTACATTTAAATTAATTGTTGATATATATGTCGTTATTGCCATTTTATTATTCATAGTTTTGATTTTTTTTTTCTTTTTTTCTTCTTCTTCGTAAAGAAGTCTCTCCAACATTTCCTGTAACACTGGTTTGGCAGTGGTGATGAACTCTTTTGGCTTTTTCTGGTATGGGAAGCTCTTTATCTGTCCTTCAATTCTAAAGGACAGCTTTTCTGGGTAGAGAAATCTTGGTTTTAGGTCCTTTCTTTTCATCACTTTGACTATTTTGTGCCAATCCCTCTGGCTTGCAAAGTTTCTGTTGAGAAATCAGCTGCCAGTCTTATGGGATCTCCCTGTAGGTAACTATCTGCTTTTCTTTTGCTGCTTTTTAGATTCTCTCTTTGTCTAACCTTTGACATTTTAATTTTGATATGTCTTGGTGTGGGTTCATCTTGTTTGGGACTCTCTGTGCTTTCTGATTTTGTATGTCTATTTCCTTTGCCAGGTTAGGGAAGTTTTCCATCATTATTTCTTCAAATAGGTTTTTAATTCCTTGCTCTCTCTCTTCTCCTTTTGGTATCCCTATGATGCAAATGTTAGTATGCTCGATGTTGTCCTAGATGCTCCTTAAACTATTCTCATTTTTTTTTTGGATTCTTTTTTCTTGTTGCTGTTCTGTTTGGGTGTTTCTGCTACCTTCTAAATCACTGATTTGATCCTCTGCTTCATCTAATCTACTATTGATTCCTCCTAAGCTATTCTTATTTCAGTTATTGTCATCTTCATTTCTGACTGGTTCTTTTTTATGTTTTCTATCTCTATTTTTATGTTTTCTATTTCTTTGTTAAAGTTCTCACTGAGTTCATCTACTCTTCCCCTAAATTCATTGAGCATCTTTATAACTAGTGTTTTGAATTTTGCATCTGGTAGATTGCTTGTTTCCATTTTGGCACATTATTTTTTTGTAGCTTTGTTCTGTTCTTTCATTTGGGACATGTTTCTTCACATCCCCATTTTGGCTGCCTCCTTGTGTTTGTTTCTATGTATTAGGTAGAGCTGCTAGGTCTCCCAATCTTAGTCGAGTGGCTTTATGTAGTAGATGTTCTGTGGGGCTCAGTGGCTCTGTCTCCCTGGTCACCTGAGCTGGATACTCCAGGTATGTCCCTTATATGGGTTGTGTGTACTCTCCTGTTTTAGCTGAGGCTTGGTTGTTGTTTGCATGTCAATGGGAGGTATGACCCTTGGGCTGATTTGTTGTGAGAACTGGCCGGTGACTGTAGAGAAGCTGTTGTGCAGGGGCTGGCCCTATGGAGCAGAATTCATTTTAGCAGGGCTCTGGTGCCTTCCCAGTTTTCTCTTCTCTTTGAGTGTGTCATTCTTAGATGTGGCCTCAGGTGGTACTCTGGCTCAGATGAAAGCCACCCACAAGGCTGGTGCCTCCTGGAGGGACCCTGCCACAGGCCAAGTTCAGCTACAACCTGTACCCTGCCCAGGGCCATTTTGTATGAACCACCAAGCAATCCACAGATGGCTGTCACCCACATTGGGCTTGGATTTGCCTTGAGAGGCCAAGCCACAAACTGCGGTCAGCTGCTTCTAGTGCTGGGCTTGGGGCTCACCAAAGTCAGCTGCTGCTTATTTGGGTTTTGTGAATCTTTAAGAGATTTTGGAAAATCTACAGCATGAGCCAAGACAAGACATTTGTATGGAAAATCCACTGGAAATGGCTTGCATGGGCCCACAAGTTGGGTGGAGCAGGGTCTCAGGAATCACCAGGGTGGTGCAACCAGTGTTAGCCAGGTTGATGAAAACTCAGATATAGCAGCCATCTGAGTCTGCATGCTGGGTTCAACAAAGGAAGAGTGGCTCCACCAGTGCTTCTATCTGAGAGAAAGCTGCCCCTCCAGCCTTCACCCTGAAGTCAGTCAACTCAGTTTCTACCCATGTGTCCCTTTAGAGCTGCTGTCCCAATGCTGGAGCTCAGAGTGAGTTCATCAGTGGGTAAGTCCATGCATTGGCCCTTTAAGAGGAATGCCTGCTACTCCCACAGCCATCTGTCTAACTCAGTCACAACCTCTGTTGATGTCTCATCCAGATTTTGTAGGGTCTTCTCTTCTTGGATCTGGAACCCTGGGCTGGGGAGTCTGGTGACAGGCTGGGATACCTCGTTTTTCCCGGGGCACCTCCATAACTGAGATACACCTCTCAATTTTTAACCACCACACACAGTGTGGGACAAGTGTCTCCGCCCCTCCTTTAGTCCGGAAATGGCTTTTTTTTGGTATGTTCTTAGTTGTAGGAATTCTGTTCGGCTAGACTTCAGTTGATTTTCAATGATGGTTGTTTTGTAGTTTAGTCATAATTTTGATGTAGTTGTGACAGGAGGCAAGCATCTACCTCTCCACCATCCAGACTGGAATCCTCCCAGTTCTACTTTTAACTAGTTATGTGACAGCAGGCAGAACATATAGCCTTTCTAGGACTTAGTTTCTACATTTGTACAATGATAATATGAACCACTTTGTTTCCAAAATCATTTCCAGACTTAAAAAAAATTATTAAAAAGAGGACACATTCATATGATATAGATTTTAATGCACTGAAAACATAGCCATGCCTTTGTAAGAAATTATCATCAAAAAGCTGATCAAAATTGAATGCCTGAGTAATAGTTAGAGGAGGCTGGCACATGAACCAGGAGATGAGTAATCAGGAGAAAATTCTTACCTTGGTTCTCTTCATTTCCCCTCCTGGAATGATCAGTGTATTCACAAAAGTCTCCCCACCCACATCTCTCTATCCCATACCTTGCTTCTTTTTCTCATAGCTCTTAATACTACCTATGATTGCAGTATATATTGTTTTATATTGTTAATTACCTGCCTCTTCCACTAGGATATAAGCTCTATGAGAGAAATTTTATTTATGTGGTTCATCGTTGTTTCACTAGCATCCAGAATAGTGTCAGGCACATTGAAGACACTTTATAAATACTTACTGACCAAAAAGTAAACTTTCTTATAATGGCTCCAATTTTTGAGCAATAGCTCATTCTTTTTTTTCTACAATATCTTTTTACTTTCAGAAGTATTGCACTAAGTAGTTTACTAATTTGTGCTAGCCTTTGTAGATGAGATTCCTTCCTTTCTTCCTTCCTTTCCTTCCTTCCTTCCTTCCTTCCTTCCTTCCTTCCTTCCTTCCTTCCTTCCTTCCCTTCCTTCCTTCCTTCCTTCTTTCCTTCCTTCCTCCCTTCCTTCCTTTCTCTCTTCCTTCTTTTGAAATATGCAACGGAATTTTGAGTTAAGTTAAGTAGTAAAAAATGTGGAGCCCTTACTTACTTTTTGCCTAAATATCAAATTAAAAACCCTATGAGATTGGACTTTCTCATGTGTTTCCTATTTCCAAGCTTTATCAAAACAGGTATAAGAAACAGTTCTTATAGATCGTTTCCATCCTATTTTTAGGACAACCTGAATGTACATGAAGACTAAATATGTATATTTATATTTATTTTTAATATTAAAATTAGCTTTTTGAATTTTGTAGATTATTTGTGTCTGCTCAGGTCAGAACAACAGATTGTACTTTTATTTTTGATTAATTCAAAATAAAGTGTCAGTACAGTGAAAAGCTGAACTGTAGCTAAATTTGGTTCCCATCATGAATCATTAGAATACTTAGACAGTCACATTGTCACTGGCTACAAAGTCGATGGGAACAGTCGCATAGGATGAGTTAACTCTATAAGGACAATCTTCCTGGAATTCTGTAGCTGAAAAATGATTTGTTTTGTTATTTTGGGGAAAAATGGAGTTAAATTGCTTACATCAAACTTCTCTTCCCTCTAAACAAACTTTGTAGAAGTCCAAACAAAATAAAAGAAGTTGCTTGGTTGCTTACATGAATCTAAATGATAAATTTATAAAAGAGCTTAAATTTTTTGAATGAAATAGGAAAAAAAGAAGACAAGCAATTATAGTTATTTCATGAAGCCTGTGTTTCTGGCATAACTGGTGTTGATATATAGTTTATATTTTTTATTACATCCAATCATATTTATGAGTTCTTGCTTTTTATCAATTATCA